GGGCGGCGAGCGAGGGAGGGGGGGGCAACGAGAAAGGGGCGGGCCTTCTCGGAAGGCCCGGGAGTCCTCCAGCCTTCTGAGCAGTTCCCCGAGCCTTCGCCGAAGACAGAGAAAGACTTCTCAGAAGGTGGGCGTGTTCCTGAGAAGTTCCGCCGCCTTTTGAGAAGGCCTTTTCCTCCTCACTTCCCTCCCTCGCTCGCCGCCGAAGGGTGCCTCCCAAGACGGCTCTCCAGGGGAACCCCGACGGGGGAGCCGAACGGAAATTTCCAGCCCCCCGGCCTCGAGAGCCCCCCCCCAGGATGCACCCAGAAAAGCCCCCTCCCTCCCCTCCCCTCCCCCTTCCCCAGAGGCCGAGGCTCCAAGCCTCCAAGAGGCCCCAGGAGGCCCCCGAGAGGTGCCCCAAGAGGCTTTCCAGAGAGGCCCCAAAAGGCCCCCAAACTGCCCCCCTGGGGCCCCCAAGGGGCGCTCCCCAGATGCCCAGACTGCCCCCCAGGAAGTCCCCTTAGAGCGCCCCGAAGATACAGCAGCATCCCTGAGGCCTACGGCCCACAGCCCAGCAAACGGTGACGGGGTGGGCCGACGGCCATTCGATAGAGCTCGTGCCTTGCGTGTCGCCGCGCACGCTCGTCTTAACACATCTGACAGGTCCAATGGTAGAGCACGTGCCGTCTTCAAACTTCAGCTCTCGCCCTAGCGACGCGCGCACGCGTCGTGAAAACGTGCCCGCGAGGATGAAGGGCGATTCCTTTGTTTCAGAACGGGGCTCTCGCCGTAGCGCCGCGCACAGGTTTCTCAGAGCTTGCAGCAGTCGCAGTGAAGGACGGAGGACGGGTCTCTTCCCAGACGTGCACACGGAGGGGCGAGGGGCCAGCTGAGGGGAGGATGGGCCAGGGATGAGGGATGGGGACTGCCATACTCTGCGCCTCCTCTAGCGGTGGAAGGCGCACGCTGCAAGAGCAGCCGCCAGGCCACGGGTGCCTCGCGCTTCGGGACCCTGGCACGCGGCGCTCTGCCAAGTTGTCCTGCGCCCAGGGATGCCGACCCCAGGAGAGGGGAAGAGGAGGAAGGAGGAACAAGGAGGAGGCGTACGGAGGAGGACCAAGACCAAGACCAAGAACGCAGGGGACTTGTCCAACATGTCGGAACAGAGCAAAACTGGATTGCCTCAAAACGGCAAGCTAGAAGTCCCTGCGAGAGGCGAACCTCGAGAATCCAAAATGCGAGCGTGGAGGGCCCCCGCTGGGGGGAGCCACCCCCGCTGGCCCATAAGGCAGACTCTCATAGGCGCGGATGTCCACGCGGGAGCGCCTGTGGGCACCAGCCGCCTACCCCTTGCGCCTCGAACTTCCGGCCCCCCGGGCCTTGGGAGGAGGTCGTGAGCCCCCCTTCTTCGAGGAGACCGCTCTTCCCTCCCTCCTGTCAGCATCGGCGGCGGCCACGCGATCAGACTCCCCCCCCTCCCCGACCGACGACCTCACGACGAACCCGTCCCTCCCCGCGGCACGGATGTCCTGCAGCATGCCCCTCTTCACCAACTGGTGGTAGCGTTCGCTTGTCGCGAATGCCGAGGGCAAAGAAAGCCCAGGAGGAGGAGGCAAAGGGGGGAGAGACCTGACCACAGGATCAGAACGCGGGAGAGGGAGGAGAGAGCGGACCTCAGGACAGCTTCTAAAAGTCTCAGAACGGGATTCAGATCTGACCGAGCTCGTCCAAACTTCAAACTGCCTCTGGGCCTCAGGGTTCAAAGAGGGCGGGCGGCGATCAGACTGGATATTGCACTCAGTGAACGATTCACGTGGACCCCTTTCCACAACGTTCACGGGCTCAGTCTGCACATCAAATAAATTGGCAAACCCTTGAGATTGACCACGTGAGCTCTCCCCCGCAGAAGATGAGACCCTCAAAGATCCCACTGGCTCTGCATTCACATCAGGTAAGTCTGCACACCCCCAGGATCGACTTCCACTTCCCAGCGAAGGTCTGTATGTGGGCGGATTCTCAGCTGACGTCACAACTTGTCGAGCTCTACTCCAATCATCAGGTTCCGACGAATTGGGTCTTTTTTTGCACGCTGCCGTCTTTGGGGAATCACCTCCTCTTCTGGAGCAGCTCTGCGATCTGCCTCTCCAGCGGCCCCCTCGTTGCCGCTCCCACCAGACGGACTGCCCCCGCCTCCTCCAACACTCTGTCGAAAATCTGGCGGAGGATCATACCCACGGCCGTCAGATGGATCACAATCTGGAACTTCACTTTCCCCTACCATTCGCTTGCAGTGATCTCCCCGAGGCTGCTTCACACTGAAGTGGGTGATATCGGTGGCAATACAGTCGGGCTGCTTTTTGTCGACCTGCGCATCCCAAACAATCGTGACGACATCGACCACTGCGCCCTGATCCTGTTTCCTCACTGCGTTCATTGTCAACCAAAAGACCGTCACGAACGATTGGCCGAGGGACGACAGATCCGTCTCTGGGTTGGCCTTCTTGGTCTCTTCCAAGCCGGCTGCCACTTCCGTGTAATATTTGTTCGCGGCCAATCCAGCCTTGGCCAAGAGGCGGGCCGTGTCCAGCAGGTACGTCTCCATCACGTTTGGCTCGACGAGGGCGAGGCCGCGGGCGTTCACGAGGGCGATCCACGCTGTGAGGTCTACAAGCTCCTGCTCTTTCTTGCCTCGACCTCCCTGGGAGTCCTCGCCTCGCTGGCGCTGGGACCGATCCTCCGCGTCGTCGCCCTCCCGCGGGCGTCGGACGCCGCAGATGGCCTTCGCCCACTCGGGCCGCTCCAAGTCGAACGTCTCCAAGCCCATCTTCTCGAGCGGCATGGCGAACACACTGCACACGTGGAATGAAAGGAAGGTGGCCTCGTGCGTGCTCGTTGTAGGCCTTCAATGTAGGACTGCTCGAGCCACAAACGCCACATACGATGTTCGTCAGCTGGCCGAGCGGATGAAGAGTAGACGCCTTGTCAGCCAGACAACGTCCGTGTAACAGTGATCCATGGAGATGCTTTTGTGCAGTCTTCCTGTCCCACACGACCTCCTCACAAGCAATACGCTGATTAGTGACCGTGAGCACCTGCGAGATCTTCGAAGCCTTATGGACGAGCCTCAGGTGGTTCACCAAGCCTTTACGGCTCGAGAAGGCAGCCCCACAAGGGCCGTCCACGCCATTCCAAGGGCAAACGAAGTCCAGGGATACCTCCAAAGCACCTCGCTCCAGCGCCAAAGGGTCGAGAAGCTGTAGGCCAGGAGGGGCCACCTGTACGGAGGAGGAGGAGGAGGCGGCGGCGGCGGAGGAGGAGGCGGCGGCGGAGGAGGCGATGAGGAAAGTTCACTCCAAACTTTCGGGCTCCTACATCTGACCATGGCTTGCTCCTATTGATCCTGCTTCGGCTCTTACTTACAACATGCGCCGCATCGACTTGCATATTACTATGTTGCCTTCTGCCTTCCTGGCGGCCGCTGCTCCTGCTGCGCGTGTTGCTAACACTCTTTCTGCTCGCTAGACGCTGGGACCACGGATCGCCCAGATCGAGGCAACTACTGAAGGGAGGAGAGAAGGGGAAGAGGGACGGAAGGAGGCAGAGGAGGGAAGGAACGAGAGAAACAACCATATGAAGAGGAAGGGGCACGTGCGTGCCCAACAGAATTTAGAGGAAGGAGCCAAGCCCGCCTGGGGGATTCCGAGAGACAACCGCATGCCGTCGTGCCCTTGGGAAAACATCCGTACCTCGAGTAGCTCGAGGAGCTCGAACTCACGACCAGAGGCAGAGGGCCGACCGGGCATCAGCACACATGTTTTTGCTCTCGTGCTGGAGCTCCCAGAAACCCATCCGACACTCAACGTGGCGAGCTCCGAATTCGATCTCGAGCTGAGCCAGCCATACCCTCTGCGACCAACATCGTTCCAGAAAGGGTATCGAAAAAAAACGGTACATGGTAGATTGGTTTGCGATTTTGTTGTGGTCCGTCCGAAGCGAACGCCAAAGGGGCACTGAGGCCCTTCCGAGCCACAAGCGCTTCCCTCGCTTCGACGCCCTGATTGTGTGCGTGCCACCCTCGAAGCAGCGCGTCCTGTCTCCCATCATCGCAGCTTTGGTCAGCATGACCGCTTTGTCCGCGAATTCGCACATGAGCGGCTCATCTGGCCAGTCCTCGCCGCAAGCGTGGGCGGGCCTCCTCCTCCTCCTCCATTTCCCTTGTAAATAGCTCGTCCCTGTTGCACCCGAGACGTCTCAGTAGGGCTGGTTCGGCGTTTGGCCTGAGACTTCCTTGCTATGATCCTGAAGCTGAGACATTGCAACAGTTTGACAGATGGAGGGCAGGTCGTTTTCAACATGTGACTCTAGCCTTAGCGCCGCGCACATTCGTTCTAACAAGTTGCAGGAGTTTCATGGACGGAGGGCGGGTGCTTTTCAACATGTGACTCTTGCCTTAACGCCGCGCAGATTCGCTGTAAAAGTTAGCAGGAGTTTCACGGATGGAGGGCGGGCGGTTTTCAACATGTGGCTCTCGCCTCCGCGCCGCACATCTTCGTTTTAAACATTCGCAGTTAACGATGGAGGGCGGGTCGTTTTTAGAATGTGGCGCTCGCCTCAGCGCCGCGCATGTTCGTCTCAAACGCTTGCAGCATATTCAAGGACTCTCATGTGTTTCGGCACGGTGTAGGACTGTCAGGGCGCAAAAATCGCGTTGCTTCGCAGGGTTGAAATCCCAAACATGGCACTCTGGGATTAAGCAGGATCGCTGGGACGCAACCGTGACGTTGATTCGCGGCGTTGAAGTCCCAGAAATGGTGTTTGGCACGGTTCGTTGATGAGTCCTGGATTTGCACTGGTCCTCCTCCTCCTCCTCCTCCTCCTCCTCCTCCTCCTCCTCCTCTTCCTCCTCCAGCTCCAGCTCCAGCTCCATCTCCTCCTCCTGCTCCTCCTGCCTCTCCTCCTCCCTTTGGGCTCTAACCAGTCCTCGGCGCAGGCGTAGGCCGGCACATTGAAGGCGAAGGGCGCGCCGTCCTTCGCGGGGCGACGCCGAGCAGAGAGGCCCCACTGGGGCGCATCGAGTCGCGTGCACCTCCCTTCCAACCGAGGCTCGATGGGTCTGCCGACGCCTCGCTGTCGGTCCTCCAGGATGCCTAAAATGGCTTCCAAGAGGGCCAGCAAGACAGTCGAAAATTTCAATGGGGGTCTCAAGAGGCACCAAAAAGCCACAAGAAGCTCTTGGCCCTTAAGGATCTGCTTTCTCTGCTTGTCACTCCTTTCGCCCCGAAAGGCCGCAAGCAGCTGTCCCAATTTGCCCCCAAGACTTCCAAGCGCCCTCCAAAGGGCCCCCAGACGGCCCAAGACTGCCCAGGACCGACCCAACGCGGAAAGCCTGCCAGACGGCCCGATTGCCCAGTGGCACCTCCAAGACTGCCCAAGACCGATCCAAAAGGTGGAAACTAGCCAGACGGCCCGACCTTCGCAAACTGCCCCAAGACCCCTTTGGGCGACCGCAAGCCACTCCGAGACGTCTCGAAGACACCCAACAGGCCCTCAAGAGGCCCCAAGAGCTCCCAAGAAACCCTCCAACAAACTCCCGAGAAACCCAGCGTCCTCGATGTCACGTGTTACGGCCCTGTGGACCATCTGGGGCCATCGGGCAGCCAAATGCATCCTAACCGCTGCGGCGCTTTCTTTCCGTGCAAGCTGCGCGACACATGTGTCCACTGCAGCAGAGCAGCTGTAGTCGTTTTTGTTTCTGTTATCTTCGTAAGCAGCTAGGCAACTCAGCGACGCCCTTCGCAACTCAACACCTATGATGCGGTATTTCGCGTGATGCGCAGGCAGCGTCAACACTTCAGAACTGAGAGGCTTCAGCAGCTCGGATCCCTCAGCCCATGGATGCCTCGGCCCTCAGCCCATGGATGCCGAGCTACTCCTTCCCCCTCCTCCTGCAACTGCGGCTCCTCCACAGAAGAACAAAAACGAAGTCTGGGTAGTGTAAACGGGTCGCTCCTTAGGACTGATGTTTCATTCGATGCCGTAAATTGGCGGCAACCTGGACCCCGGGGAGGGCCCTGGGATCCCGGGAACATTGGAAAAGGCTTCCAAGACCCTCCTCCTCCTGCTCCTGCATCTGCTCCTGCTCCTGCTGCTGCTCCTGCTGCTCCTGCTGCTCCTGCTGCTCCTGCTGCTCCTGCTGCTCCTGCTGCTCCTGCTCCTCCTCCTCCTCCTCCTCCTCCTCCTCCTCCTCCTCCTCCTCCTCCTCCTCCTCCTCCTCCTCCTCCTCCCTCCTCCTCTCCTCTCCTCCTCCTCCTCCTCCTCCTCCTCCCCTCATCATCCTCCTCTCCCTCCTCCGTCTCCTCCGTTTCCTCCTCCTCCTCCTCCTCCTCCTCCTCCTCCTCCCCCTCCCCTCCTCCTCCTCCTCCTCCTCCTCCTCCTCCTCCTCCTCCTCCTCGTCCAGGACCCAGGCCCCCTTCGAGACGAGCCCTGCTCACAGACAGACCAGGCCCCCGGGCTACTGCAGGCCATGGGATCCCTTCGCGTCCTCTCGGGTGCGCGCGGCTGACGGGGGCCAGGTTGGGGGCTAGCGCACCATGGCCCGAGGCACGTGCGTGGGCGAGCCAAGGCTTGTTTCGGAAAACGAAGAAGAGGAAGCCACGACATCTCAAGAGCCCCGTAAACCGGGACACGCTCGAACCCCCCTAAAGCCCGACAGAAAACCGAATCCTGCAGTGCAGCAAAGAAAAAGAATCGGACTTTGCAGGAAAGGGTGTCGTTCCCCCGACTTGCCAATGTCCGGGTTCATCTGTGTCCTGGTCTCCGGGGGCCACGACATCTGAGAGATGTCATGGCATCGGCCATGATGTCCCCCCCTCCTTCGTCGGTCGGGAACCTCTGCTTGGCGGGTCGCGGCGGCGGTCCCTGCGACACGCTATGCCATGAAAGCGCATCGCATGTCGCTCCGTTCAGAAGGGCGGGAGGCTTCGACAGGCTCGGAACGTTTGTCGCGCAGGGAACGGGGAAGTGGTCAGCGTGTAGAGTCGAGACGTGATGGGCCAGAACCGGCGGCGCGACAAGCTAAGTCACAGCTCCCGAGCATAGCCCCCACCCCCCCATGAGGTCCAACGAGAGGGGGTGCACCAAGGGTAGGCTATCGGGTTCCTGCCGTCGGCGATGGGTGAGCGATTGGGGGTCCATACCCCCCCCACCCCTGGGACCCCCCTGAGCCTGAGCTTGCCCCTGACCTCTTCGACGCCCCCGAGCCTCGTAAGCGTTCCCGAACTCCAGGAACGGGTCCTCCTCGGAGCCCCCGCGCCCGCCTGCGGCGTGCGCTGAAGAAGTCCCGCCGCCCCCTCCCTCTCTCAGGGCCTCGCCGCGCCTAAGGCACCCTTTCCGGCCACTCTTCTTCGAGATCCTTTTCTTCCCCCCTCCTCCTCCTCCTCCTCCACCTCCTCCTCCTCCTCCTCCTCCTCCTCCTCCTCCTCCTCCTCCTCCTCCCCAGGCCCCCTCGAGTCTTAAACAAATCACGACGGTTTTTTTGTGCTTTTCAATATTCGGCCTCGGGGGGCCCTTACTAGGCCTCGGGACCGTCGACGAAACGGCGCGGGATGAAAAACTGCCCCTTGGGAATAGGTTGAGACCTCTGGGGGTCGACGTCATGAACAAGTCATGGCGTCGGGGGTTTGGGTTCTCCTCCTCCTCCTCCTTCTCCTCCTCCTCCTCCTCCTCCTCCTCCTCCTGCTCCTGCTGCTGCTCCTGCTGTTGCTGCTCCTCCCCCTCCTCCTACTTCTCCTCTTCCTCCTCTTCCTCCTCCTCCTCTTCCTCCCTTTCCTCCCTCCCTTTCCTCCCTTTCCTCCCTTTGCTCCCTTTCCTCCCTTTGCTCCCTGTGCTCCCTTTCCTCCCCTCCTCCCTTCCCTCCTCCTCCTCCTCCTCCCTCCTCCTTCCTCCTCCTCCTCCTCCTCCTCCTCCTTCCTCCTCCCCTCCACTCCTCCTCCTCCTCCTCCTCCTCCTCCTCCTCCTCCTCCTCCCCTCCTTCTCCTCCTCCTCCTCCTCCTCCTCCCCTCCTCCCCTCCTCCTCCCTCCTCCTCCTCCTCCTCCTCCTCCTCCTCCTCTCCTCTCCTCCTCCTCCTCCTCCTCCTCCTCTCTCCTCCTCCTCCTCCTCCTCCTCCCCTCCTCCGCCACCTCCCTCCTCCTCCTCCTCCTCCGCCTCCTCCTCCTCCTCCTCCTCCTCCTCCTCCCCAGGCCCCCTCGAGTCTTAAACAAATCACGACGGTTTTTGTGTGTTTTTCAATATTCGGCCTCGGGGGGCCCTTACTAGGCCTCGGGACCGTCGACGAAACGGCGCGGGATGAAAAACTGCCCCTTGGGAATAGGTTGCGACCTCTGGGGGTCGACGTCATGAACAAGTCATGGCGTCGGGGGTTTGGGTTCTCCTCCTCCTCCTCCTTCTCCTCCTCCTCCTCCTCCTCCTCCTCCTCCTCCTCCCCTCCTCTTCTCTGCTGGCCTTCTCGCCTCGCAAAGGGGGGGAGCATGGAGACAGCGGCGGCCTTCCCGCGCCCAGGGCCCCAGATCTGGACACGACTGAGCTCCGGAGCCCTCCCTGGGCCCAGTCCCAGCCGTGGCGACGAGAGGCTCCGAGGAGGCCCAGCACAAACGAAATATGCCAGGGGGGCGCTGCTATTTCTTGTTCCTCCCCGTTCCCTTTCTCCTCCTCGCTCTCGGCTCGGCAGGCGGGCCTGCGAGCACTGAGCTGGACGGGGTCCGACGTGTCGCACCCGGCTCGGCGAGCCTCGGGTGTGTGCCGCGTTCTCCACACCCTCGTTTTCCTCGTTTGAGCGGGGTCCAGGAGGAGGAGGAGGAGGAGGATGAGGAGGAGGAGGAGGAGGAGGAGGCGGAGGAGGAGGAGGAGGAGGAGGAGGAGGAGGAAGAGGAGAAGGTAGAGGAGGAGGAGGAGGAGGAGGAGGAGGAGGAGGAGGAGGAGGAGAAGAAGAAAGAGGTATCGAAACTGCTGGCCTGCCCACGTCGCGTCGCCACGGTCGGCTTCTCCCTCCCCCTCGCCACTCGTCCTCTCTCTCGCCCTCGGGCGGGTCGGCGAGCCTGGCCGCGGCCTTCCGCGCGAAGCTGGGGGAATCTCTATATGCGGCACGACTGCTGGCCCCGGGGCAGGGGGGGGCGTGCCCCCGCCGCCTCCCTCCCGTCCTCCCTCTCTCCCTTCCCCTTCCCCGCCTCTCTCCCGCCCTCTTTCCCGCCCTCCCTCCCTCCCTCCGCCCTCTCTCCCTCCCTCCCTCCCGCCCTCCCGCCCTCCCTCCCTCCCTCCATCTCTCCCTCGCTGCCTCCCGCTCCCCCATTCTCCCTCTCTCCCTCCCTCCGTCTCGCTTTCCTTCGCTCCCTCTCTTCCCGCCCTCCTCCATCCTTCCCTCTCTCCCTCCCCCTCCCCCTCCCTCCCCCTCTCTCCCTCCTCCCTCTCTTCCCGCCCTCCTCCCTCCCTCCCTCCTTCCTCCCCTCCCTCTCTCTTCCCCTCCCTCCCTCCCTCCCTCCCTCCCTCTCCTCCCGCTCGGCACGCTCCGCCGCAAGTCTCCTCCTTTTCAGTGTCGCACCCCGCCCACGCCCCCGCTCGCTCAATCCCTTCCTCTCCTGGAGCTTCCCTTCCTGACTTTCGACCAGCCTTTTCCCGACTTTGCCCTCGACGACCCCTTGCCGCGAGGTTGGGCTCTCAATCGCCACCCCTTTCCCTCCCTCCCCTCCTCCTCCCCCTCCCCCGCCACACTTACACAATATGAATACTACTCTCCTCTCTCTCCGGATGACGTCCGAAAGATGTTCGCCCCCCTCCGCGTACTGTTTTCTACACGCAAGAATCCCGGGAACTGGGTTTTCGCTTGGGTTGTTGTTTCAAAAATTTTGCTCCCGCTCAAGCGCTGGCCTCATTTTCGGCCTTCCGCTCGCTCCGAACCGTGCTCCCGCTGCAGCGCTGGCCTCATTTTCCGAGTTCCAGCTCGTTCCGAATCGTGCTCCCGCTGCAGCGCTGGCCTCATTTCCTCTGGTTATCATATTTGTTTTTGGCAATCCAATTCTTTTCGGTCCTTCAAAATGTTGCTTCCGCAGCGGGAGCACGTTTTGGAACAACCAGAGGCGCAGAAATGGGGCCAGCGCTGAAGCAGCGCGGGTGTTGCCGGTCGATTCGTTGAGTTTTTGGGTCCCCACTTCGGGGCGGCAGCGTTTGGAGAAGGATCAAGCGGGGGCCTCGTTTCTGCTTTCAGAAGGCGATGTTGCAAGCAGAGCCAGCAGGGTGGTCTCCACCGCCGTGTGGGGAGCTTTTCGCGGAACCCAGGGAGCTAAACATGGAGCCGCGACTCCAGACTGGCCCAAACCCTTCGAAGAATATCCACTTACCCTCCAAGGGACCTGGTGCCCTGCCATGACATGCCGTGCAGTGTTCTGTTCTGCGCTGCTGTGCGATGCCATGCTTTGCGTTGTAATGCTTTGTGATGCAATGCGTCACTACGCAATGCCACGCCATGCTATGACATTCTACGCTCTGCAGTGCTCTTTTACGCCATGCCATGCCGTGCTCTACGATGCATGGCGCACCCTCTTGCGATCGTTGCCCTGCTCGCCATCCGACTGTGCGAATAGAGCGGAGATCTACGCCATGGTAAGGGATGGGAGGGATGGGTAATTAGGACGTCAGATATGACGCGAGCGCACCTAGCTTGCCCTCCCCCCCTCCCCCTCCCCCCCCTCCCCCTCCCCATCCTGCCTCCCCCCATGCGGGGCGAGGGAGGCGGGAGCCCACGTGGTCGGTCGGACTTGGCAGTGCAGCAGTCTGCGTGCCGTCTTGCTGAAGGCTCTCACTCCAAGAGCTGAGGGGGAAGGAGGGAGGAGGAGGAGGAGGAGGAGGAGGTGGAGGAGGAGGAGGAGGAGGAGGAGGAGGAGGAGAGGGAGAAGGAGGAGGAGGGAGGAGGAGGAGGAGGAGGAGGAGGAGGACGAGGAGTAGGAGGAGAAGGAGGAAAGGGAGGAGGAGGAGAGGAGGTGGAGGAGGAGGAGGAGGAGGAGGAGGAGGAGGAGGGAGGAGAATGGAAGAGCAGAGGAGGTAGGAGGAGGATGAGGAGGAGGAGGAGGAGGAGGAGGGGGGAGGAGGAGATGGGGGAGGAGGAGGAGGAGGACGAGGAGGAGGAGGAGGGAGGAGGAGGAGGAGAAGGAAGAAGAGGTGGGAGCAGAAGGGAAGAGCAGAGGAGGGAGGATGAGAAGGAGGAGGAGGAGGAGGAGGAGGAGGAGGAGGAGGAGGAGGAGGAGCAAGGGCGATGCCGCCGCTCGGGACGGCCTCGCGCTCGAGCCCAGGCGCCCTCCCCGCGCGACCCCGTGAGGCCGGGCAGCCGGGGTGCCCGGGCCCCTCAGGCAGGAGGGCGGCGGGTGGCACCACGCCGCAGCGCGGGGCGGCCGCCCCGCCCAGGGGCGCGAGGCACCCCGCCCGCACCCCTGGCGCTCGGGGCCTCGCCTCGCCCCGTCGCCTCGCCCCTCCGCCTCGGCGCCCTCCTCCGCGGCTCTCCTCGTCGTGCTCGGCTCTCCTGGTCCGCCAGCCTCTGGCCCCCCCCGCCCTCGCCCCCGCCACGCCTTGGCCCTCGCCCCCACCTCGCCGCCGCGGCCACCGCCGCCGCCGCCGCGGCCGCCGCCGCCGCCGCCGCCGCCGCCGCCGCCGCCGCCGCCGCCGCCGCCGCCGCCGCCGTCGTCGTCGTCGTCGTCGTCGTCGTCGTCGTCGTCGTCGTCGTCGTCGTCGTCGTCGTCGTCGTCGTCGTCGTCGTCCCGATCGTCCTTGCCATCGTCGTCCCTGCCCAGCCGTCGCCGTGGTTCTCGTGGCGGCGGGTGGCCTCCCGGGCCGAATGCCAGCACGCCCAGGGGCGCCTCCAGGACCTCGCAGATCTCGAACCCAGCCTCCCGCGCTGGAGGGCTCGGCCGCCCCATGCAGCCGATAGGACCTCCTCCCCTGCGTTCTCCTCCTCCTCCTCCTCCTCCTCGTCCTCCCACTGCCTCCTCCTCCTCCTCTTCCTCCTCTTGCCTCCTCCTCCTCCTTGGTCCTCCTTCCTCGTTCCCCATCCATCCTCCTCGTCCTCGTCCTCGTCCTCGTCCTCCTTCCTCCTCCCCCATCCCTCCGTGCCGACGCCGTTCGATACTGGGTAAGGGGGACCGCTCAGTGACGCACGCTCTTCCTCCTCCTCCTCCTCTTCCGCCTCCTCCTCCTCCTCTTCACCCTCTTCCGCCTTTTCTTCCTCCTCTTGCTCCTCCTCCTGCTCCTCTTCCTGCTCCTCCTCTTCCTCCTCCCTCCGCGTGGTTTGGAGGGCTGCTCGCTGCGATCCTCTCGTGGCTTCACGCCAGAGAGGATGAGGAGACGACAACTCCATGCCCCTGGCCTCGTCGGCTTCGTCGGCCCCGGCGGACAAGGACGAAACTTCGTCAGCCTCGTGGCAGCCATTGGCTTCGGCTTCTTTTGGCTTGGCGTCGTCCTTCTCCTCCAGCTGGTTGTCCTGGGGCGGATAAGGCTTGCCGCGTGGACGCAAAAGCGCGGCGGCGCGCGACACCTTACCTGGCCGTGGCAGTTGAAGGCGAGATCTGACCCGAGTGCTCACCCCCTTGTCACACACACACACATACACACGCACACACATTCACACACATTCACACGCATTCGCACACATTCGCACACATCTGCACGCATAAACACATTCACACACATATTCACGCACATTAGCACACACGCACACACAGACGGACACACGCAGACACACACACACACACACAAGCACACACAGACACACACAGACACACACAGACACATACACAGACACACACACACAGACACACACAGAGACACACCCACACACAGACACACACGGAGACACACAAACGAAGACACCCACACACAGACACACACAGACGGACACACACAGACGCAGACACAGGCACACACATACAGACACATACACACACAGATGTAAACATGCACACACAGGCACACAGGCACACATACACACACGCAGACACACACACAGACACAGCCACACACATAGACACACCGAGGCACACAGAGACAAACACAGAGACACGCAGACTCAAAAAGACACACACACACACACGCGCACACAAACATACACATAGGCACACTCAGACACTCACACAGACACTCACACAGACACTCACACAGACACTCACACAGACACACATACAGGCGCACACACACACACACTCAGAGACACAAACACAGACACACACACACACACGGACGCACACAGGCACACACAGACACCCACAGACACAGAGACGCACACACAGGGACACAAAGACACACAAAGACACTCACAGGGACACACATGCACACATACAGACACGCACACAGACACATACACAGGCACACACAGACGCACACACACAAACACAAAGAAACACACATAGACACACACACAGACACACACACACACATACTCAAAGAGACAAGCACAGACACACATACAGACACCCACAGACGCACGCACACACAGACACACATACAGGCACACACAGACACACACACACATATACACCGACACACAGACACACACACAGACACAGACACAGGCACACACAGACACACACAGACACACACAGACACACACGGACACACACACAGACAGGCAGACAGACACACGGACACACACACAGGCACACACAAACATACACAGGCACACCTTACACAGACACATACGCACACACGTACACACAGAGACACACGGACACAAAGAGACACACACACAGGCGCGCACAGAGACACACAGAGACACACAGAGACACATAGAGGCACACCGAAACACACAGACACAAAGAGACACACAGAGACACACAGAGACACTCAGAGACACGAAGAGGCACACAGAGACACACAGACACACACAGCCACACACAGAGACACACAGAGACACACAGAGACACACAGAGACACACTGAGACGCGCAGAGAAACACAGAAGCACACAGAGACACACAGACACATAGATACACAGAGACACACAGACACAGGGGCACGGCGATAGTCGCAGTGACATACAGACACACAGGCACACAGACACACACACACACACACGCACGCAAACACAAAAGCACACACGCACACACGCACACACGCACACCTACACGCACACCCGCACACGCACATGCACATACACGCGCATACACTTTTTTGTCGGCGGCGAGGCAGAATGGCTGCACCAACGATGGAGCTAGACAAGAACACCGATCACGCGCACACACATACACACCGTTCATACACATTCGCACCAATCGAACATTGTTTGGCGTCGCGGTCCCGTGCGCGTCCACACCGGGCCGGATCTCCACAGACCACTTAGGATCGCAACGCCCGGGTGCAGCAACACACAAAACACATACACACACAAACACCCACATAAACACACACATTCACACACATTCGCACACATTCGCACACATTTGCACACATCCACGCGTATTCACACACATTCACATACATTCACACGCATTCACACACAAGACAAAAACAACATCTCACGTCTCACATCCACACATCCACACACACACACGCGCATTCACACACACGCGCATTCACACGCATTCGCACACACATTCGCGCACATCCATACACACACATTCACACACATTCACGCATAAACACACACACACACGCACACACAAACATCTATAATACATTCACACACATCCACGCAAATGCGTATACACATTCGCGCATATTGACACACATTGACACGTACTCACGCACATTAACACACGCACACACGCACGCACGCACACACACACACCAACACACACAGGCACACACCCACACATGCACCCACTCACACACACACACACACGCACACACACGTTCTGAGACTCCCACACGCATAAAATCCTCCAAGGATGCTCTCGCAGCGTGTTTCCAAAAGGGAACGGGGCAGCATCGGGGAAACATCCCAGACGCTTCAGGAGGGCCTGGTGGAAACTCCTGCAACCCTGGCAGCTGGTCTGTGGTGCGACAGCCGAAGGCTCCCAGCGCGCTCTCCGCCCCCGCGAGTGACAAACGCGCCGCTCGGAAGGTCGAGCGGGGGAATGGGGGGGGGAGGGCCGTGGAGGAGGACGGAGGAAGGGTTCTTACCCTGTTCTCTTAAAGGGGCCGGGCAGTGCTCCCCGCCCCGGGCGGTTCCCCCGGGATCCGCCCGGCGGTTCCCCCAGTGACGTTCCCTTAGCTTAGCGTTGCTTATCTAATATTAGCTTAGCCTAGCTTAACTTCGTTTAGCATAGCTTAGCTTAGCTTAGCCTGGCCTAGCTTAGCTTAGCTTAGCTTAGCGTAGCTTAGCTTAGCTTAGCCGCGCCTAGCCTAGCTTAGCTTAGCTTAGCTTAGCTCAGCTTAGCTCAGCTTGGCGCAGCATTAGCATAGCATGGCATAGCATAGCATATCATAGCATAGCGCAGCATATCATAACGCAGCATATCATAACATAGCACAGCATATCATAGCGCAGCACATCATAGCATAGCATATCAGTTCATAGCTTAGCTTAGCATAGCACAGCGCAGCATAGTATAGCATAGCTTAGCATAGCTTAGCATAGCATCACATAGCGCAGCATAGCATAGCATAGCACAGCATATCATAGCGCAGCATAGCATATCATGTAATAGCATAGCATAGCGCAGCATAGCATATCATAGCAAAGTCTAGCATAGCATAGCATAGCGCAGCATAGCATCGCATATCATAGCATAGCGCATCATAGCATAGCATAGCATAACATAGCGCAGCGTAGCATAGCACAATCAACAACAACAGCAAACTCAAACACAAAAGCAAAACAAAAGCAACAGCAACAACAAAAGCAACAACAGAGGCACAGGCAAAAGCAAAGGCACGAGCAATACCACAGGCAATGCAAAGCAACAGCAAAACCAATGCGAAAGTGTAGATGTAGATTTAGATGTAGGTGTAGATGTGGATGTAGGTGTAGATGTAGATGTAGATGTACATGCAGGTGTAGATGTAGGTGTAGATGTAGATGAGGATGTGAGTGTAGTTGTTGATGTAGTTGTAGATGTATATGTAGATGTAGATGTAGATGCATGTGTACATGTAGATGTAGCTGTAGATGTAGATGTGGATGTAGGTCTAGATGTAGATGTAGGTATTAAGCTGTACTAGTACAAGTACAAGTACTAGTACTAGTACTAATACTACTACTACTACTACTACTACTCCTACTACTACTACTACTACTACTACTACTACCACTACTACTACTACGACGACTACTACTTCTACTACCGTTACTGCTACAACTGCGACGATGAGGAAAAAGGAGGAAGACGGCGTTCACCGGTACTACTAAGATTGATCTCCTCGGGGCTCGAACTCCTAGGTAGGGTCGCTCTGGGATTTTTTCCCTGCCCGTTGGAACGGCCCGCCGTCGCACGCTTTCTCACGGCGCATCGTATATGCATGTATGTATGTATGTATGTATATATATATATATATGTATGTATGTATGTATGTGCATGTATATATGTATATGTGTATAAATATAAACATATATATACATATATATACACATACATATATATGTACACATACGAGCGAATACGCACATTATATCTCTATATCTCTATATATACATATATACATATATATATATACATATAGATGTATACGTATGCGCGAGCAATAACCATCGCGCGCTTCACGTGCGCTCAGGTTGTGGATGTCTTGGAGTTTGGCGCATCAAGTACAGGAGGGATCGCGACCAAAAGGGTCTCTCAAAAGCGTCTTAAGCACCTCTCGGTGGCCTGTTGAGGCCGTGCTGGGGCCATCTGGAGCTATCTGGAGCCGCCTGGAGGCCATCTGGGGCCGTCTTGGCGGTTTGGAGGCTATCTCGGAGCCAGTTTCAGCCGTCTCGGGGCCATCTTGAAGGGTTCGGGGGCCCAGCGCTTCTTAACCTCTTGTTTGCTCCAGCATCTGCATTCGCATTTGCCCTTCTTGCCGCCGCGACACTTTCCCCCCCCCCGCCTTGCCATGCCTCAGGTCTCCAGGCGCGCAACTCTTGTTGTTCTCCTTTGCGGCCTCTTCCTGAGCTTCGGACCGGGTGCAGGGGAGAAACCTTCCAGCAGCGATCCGGGCCTCTTCCCAATTGTCACAGGCGACCTTCTCGGCCTCGGCGAGCCCGCGGTGCTCTTTGCCCCCGCGCTTGCCATCGCGCCCTGCTTCCCTATAGATGAATACGCGGTGGACTTGGGCGCCTTCGAACTTCTTGAATCCAGCGGTTTCCGGGGCGCGTTTTCGGCGACTTCTGCGAATCGTCGTCTCCCGTGCCAGGAGCAGCAGTTTGGCCTCGGTTTCTGGCCTGATTGCCTTTCTTAACGCTGTTTTTTTTTTCCCGCTTCCAATATTGCCTTTGCCTCTCGCATCGTTGCTCGCGACGGCGTTCCTGCCGTGCTTCAACAAGACATGACTTCCTCTTTGCAGGTGCCCA